TTACAGGATTATTTTATTTTTTTCTGACTTAGCACATGTATCTGTCCATCAGGACAATGTTGGATAATATTTAAAAGCTTTGCTTCTTACTTGGAAATGCATATATTATTCTACTCTACAATATATCTGATGATATACTTTGAATACATTTTATTAGTTAAGGAAGTTGTCATTTCCAAGTTTTTAAAATTCAGATTATATTTGCTTTGTTTGGACTTGGTAATACAACTCTGTACCACATGTCCTTTTGTAGAAAACAACTTTAACATATTTTCAATTTATTCTGCAATTGGCTTATGGTATTATTGCTACAGAGGTCAATACTTACAATTTTATAACTTCATTTACAATTTTGAGCACCGAGGGCCTGGTCTTGCCCCTGAGAAACCAAGGCACGTGTGAGACCCCGTGTGCCGGCTCCCATTGGCCAACCTGGGCCCCCCACCCTGAGACCCACCTTCCATCGGACCCTGGGGCCCTGGCTAACGGCTCGGCTCAGCTCTGTCCCGGGTCCTCACAAATGCCGGGAACCCGAGGGTGCCGGCCGGCGAGGGACACGCCAAGAGGGAGGCCGGGCAGGGCCCTGGCTTACCGGCCCCGAGGGTCCATCCGCTAGTCCTTCAGTCTAAGGCTTGCTCAGCACAAAGCAAGGGATAGCACGAGTTACACACCAGGCCCGGCCCAGCCCCCACGCCACCTGCTCTCCTACCCGGCATGCCCGGCACGGCCTCCCCTCCGGCACCGCCTCTCCTGCCTGGGTCAGGCATGCCCACCGGCCTCACTGGCCTCCACGCAGACTCAGGCCAGTTTTCCTCACGGAACGTCCCCAACCCATGTCCTCAGCTCCCCACATGCCCGTGGGGACATGGTTATCGGTGATGGGCTGCCTCTGGCTCCCAGCTGTCTGTCCTCCACTATGTCCTGGGGCCCCTCTGCACTCCCCCAGCCCAGGCCACCACCCACCCGTCCCTCACCATCTGGCTTCCTGCCTCTGCCCCACCACCCCCAGAGCCTCCAGGTTCCTCCTCCCCACCTCCCTCCACCACTTATCCCTTACAAAGGGAGCCCACCCGAACTCCAAGCACAGAGCAGGCGGGCACGCAGGGGAGAGGGGCGGGCATGCGGGGCAGAGGGCAGGCATGCAGGCAGCAGGCAGTAGGGAGCGGGCACCAGTGGGCAGGCTCTCACCTTCACTCTGCTGACTCCCAGCGCTGCCGCTGCCGTAGCTGAAGCCAGGGTCCTGGTACGCGGGCGGGAAGCAGGGCGGAGGCCCTGGGTACTGATAGGGGTAGCCCTGCCCCAGGGGCCAGGGAGCCGGGTGGGGCAGCGGGGCCAACGTGTCCTGATCCGAGGCCCCACTGGAGCCGCTGTGGAGGTTCAGGGCCTCGAGATCTGGCAAGAGGGGAGGACGAGTGAGGGTGGTGTGGGCAGGCCCCCCAGGGACCCCGGGCCGCAGCCCCACTCACTGCTGCACAGATCCCCGAAGACGTAGTAGCACTGCTCGGAGAAGGTGACCTTGTTCACGGTGTGCCGCAGGAAGCCGCGCTTCAGCATGCTGCTGGCGTACTTGCGCGCCTCGCGCCGCTCCTTGAAGCCCTCCACGTGCGTGTACAGCCAGTCCACCACGTCCGCGCCTGCGGAGGCTCGCGTCAGGCAGGGGTCCAGCCGTGTGCGTGCGTGCGTGCACATATACGTGTGTGCAATGTGTGCGCGCACATATATGTGTGTGCAATGTGTGCACACCGCCTGCACCGCCCCGGCATCTAGGGACCACTCACCGATGACGGCGTTGGCGATGGTGATCTTGAGCCACATGCGGTCGCGGATCTCCAGCCCCGAGTCGGGCAGCTGCATGGCCCGGACCACGGCGCCCATGTCGCTCTTCACCGTCAGCGGCGCCTCCTCCAGCTCTGCAAGGCACACCCCTCCTCAGTGGACAGGCCACCGCCCACGGTGCCCACTGCACCCCCTCCGAGGCCGGTGCCGTGAGACCCCCAGGCGAGGAGGGGGGTGGGGGCAGTCTCCTCCTCCTGTAGGTGCTTCCATAGGATCCGGGCACGAACCAGGCTGAGGCCGCCCCCACCATGGCCACGGCCCCGCGTAGACATCAGCCCCCGCCCCCCCCTTCCTCAGGCTGTCAGTCGTGTTAGAGGCAGAAAGCAGATGGGGCTCCACGCAGGCGCGCACACACGTGTGCACACCTACATGTGCGCGTGCACATGCTCACATGCACACACGTGCACACACCC